TTTTGTTCTTTAACACAGACTGACAGACAACAAGGTATAAAAGCTGCTGTCACTTTCATACCAAATGTTAATGTTAACAATGTTAATTAATTAGGCCTATTGGTTATTAATTAATGTTAACAACAAAAGACAAAATCACTCACTGCTCTTGACTGAATAACTTTGTAAATTAAACGATAGATTAATTCTTAAAATTAAAGTTACATTATGTGATTATGTAGCCTAACTTATGTTCTCTGCATGAAGTAACATCTGGCACAGACATTACTTCATGCCTGAAGTAATGAAGTAACTTCAGGCATAAGTAATACGCCTGTGCTTATTAGAAAGCAAACAAATAGTATTAAATAATCATAAATTTTCCTTAGCATATGCTATGATAAATCTGAACATTTGTGTAAAATAATGGAGCATTAGATAATAAATATTGCCTTAAGTCATTGAAATTTATTGGTTGAATGAACCCTGCATTTAATGAGTGAATGCCTACGATATATGAGTTAGCCTATCACACAAAACACAGTCTTGTTTTTCCGAATATCTGCACGATGGCAAATGTACAATAAACAACAAGTTACTGAGTAACTTTCAGACAGAAAATTCTGTTTTGCCCCATCAATGCGTCTCTGAGCAACAATACAATTTCATAATACAGCTCTTTGTTTTTTTCTGCTCAGTGTTATTTCAGGGTTTTGATCTTTCAACTGAGAGATCACATCCTGTTTATTGTATTATAGTGACTATTTAATATTACATCTAAACTTTGACTAGGCTAGACATGTTGCCTATTAACTGTATACAGTATATGAACCTGAAAGCATATTTACATTTTTGTGTTACTCCTTAATAATGTTCTAGTTGAGGGCATTTGTAGTATAGGTATGGGGCCCAAACATAACCTCAAGCCCAGGGGCCCCTGGCCCCGTAAGTCCTGCCCTGATTACAAGTATAAACTGGTTATAAAATCAGACATAAGGTCTTGTCAGGCAGACAGATAGTATCTTAGGTCTAGAAATGAGCAAGTCAACATCAGTCCAGGAGTGTTACGATACACTACCACCTCCAATACATTTTTCTCCCCACAAGCACTTTAGTCCAGCATATTTGTTGTTATGTAGTAAAAGAAATCTAATACATTGGCAAACCACCCAACAACTGCTCAGCTAACTACAAAAAGATTTAATATGACATTCTGGGATTCTCGAAACTCAAGAATGCGGATAGATGTCAATGCTCATTCATGGTCACTTTCAAGTACAGTACAGCCTCAAGCTTGAATACAAACAGGTTTGGGTAACTGATAACTATTCGAGTAAACGGAGGTCTTGATTCTGACAGCTCGCAGAGAAATGAGATGAACTAGAGAAGCGAAAGTTAGCCAGAAATCTGGCCTAGAGAAAGCTGTGAATGACACGTAAGGGAAAGAGGAACAGACACATACATCTATGCGCCACGGGAGACCACTGGACACAGAGCGGGTGAGAGCGTATGTAAGTTAATGCGGAATGTGGCTTGTGTCATGTTTAGACGGAGGATATGTGGTCACTCAGGAACTGGAGGATAAGGGTGAACAGGGAGCGCGAGCCAAACACATCACTAACACTATCGCGTGAATTTATGTGCTTCATGTTCACAAGAGTGTTTTCCACTATGTGAGCTTGAATTATGGCCGCCCCTGTGTGTCTGGCTTTGACCGTATGTGGAAATTTGCATGTGTTTCTAAGTATGTGTGACAAGGAAGTTCTCTCACCAAAGGCTCTTTATTCTTGACCAGTCGAATGATCTTGACAGAATCTTCATCATCATCAATGTCATCTGGCAGAGGAGGAAGTTCTGGATCGTAACTCTTCCTGGCCACAGTATCATGAACTGACAACAAACTCTGCAACGAGAATGAGTTGTACACATAAAAAATCCACAGAAGCGCACACAGTAAGACAAACAGTAGTCGTTTGACTGATTTTGTGTAGCTACTCATTTTGGCTAATCATTCCAGCCTTCATACTCCAAGCATCTGCTTGAATCCTATAGTATAAATCATGGAGCTTTAGAGGTCTGCTTTAGATTACTACCTCCTACTGACAAATAAAGCTGCTTTTGAATTGATTACAGTCAGCATTTCACTACAACCCTCTTTGGCAATGTTGTTTGTTAAAGTGTCGCCAGCAGGAAAAAAAGAAGAACTGAATCAAAACCAAGACCAATCATATTGTCATCTTTCATTTTATTAGATTATTATGAGTATTACGAGTATCCCGCTGGAATATGGCAGCATTGCTATGAGTTTCCAAGGGGTTAGCATGCTTTATGGCAGATGGATGGACAGAAGGCAATGAAGTTCTCAGCCATTTCCGATATTTCACACTTTGGCTATAAGAGAACGAGCTATAGCAAAAGAATGACAGCATTCAGAGATTCATTACTGAACTGTTTTAATGATGCTGTGTGTGTCAAATGCAGCTGGAAACACTTTTTCTTTTAATCTTTTTCTCCCTCACATTTCCAATATAAAACCATCTTCCAGTTGTGTGCCAGAGATTTAAAAAATGGGAGGGAAGAAAAAAGAAAAAGAAAGAAAGAAAGAGAAAAGAGACAAGAAAGAGAGGAGAAGAAAAGTGTCTGTTTTATGACATGGGATTAAGCTCCAGAACAACACTCAACATGTGGTTAAAGCAGAACAGATGGGGGAGAGAGAGTGAGCGAGAGAGGAAACAAACAGGGAGAGAGAGAGTCATGTGTCTAGTAAGCAGGTCAATTTCTTCAGTCCAGTGTTTTACTGAAAATTACATATTAGAATTATCTGATAATTAATTTGTTTTTGTCTGAACACTTCAGTCTTCATAGATAATTTAACTGAATTTAAAAAATAAAGTTGAATCTGGATCACTCAGTCAGTCTACATCAATGCAGCTGAATCCTCTGCTACAGAAAACATTTACCAGAAAGTGAGTCCACAAAAAGACTGCAAAAATAATGACAATAAAAGTTCTTTCTAGGGAGTTTTTTCTTACAAGATGCACAAGATGCACAAAAAAAAAAAGTTTTAGCCAATTCACTCGAAAATGGGTTCGAAGGGTTACTGAATCTACATCTCACTCACTTACTGTATGTGACTTACTTGCTGAACTGCAAATTATCATTAATTTATGTCATGTTCATCTTGAAATTAATCAAGAACATTTGAGATACTTTAAATCAGTATTAAGGACTAGCTGATCATTTGACAATGTGTAGTTAAAGAAACACATTTGCAACTTATTTAATAAATGAAATGAAGACCTACCACTGTGATACAAAATTGGCTCTCATTATAAAATAAACCTAATTTCTGATTGGACTATACACCTGCCAATCAAACACATCCACACACTATGTTTAGAAACAAGTTGTATATAATGTATATCATGTAAAAACAACTATAGACACGAAAAAACTTTCCCAATCCTTTATTTTAAATCGGTTTATATCTCAAATAAATGCAGCTTTGATGAGCATAAGAAACTTCCAAAATCATTATAAATAAATAAATAAATAAATGTGTACACAATCAGTCAAAAGTTCAGACATGCTTGTCTGAACTGATTTTCATTATCTCTAAAAATACTGATCTAAAGGCTTACGGTTTACACAAATTCATTTTTAGCAATAGAAATTATGCCAATGTATGACTTGGGAGAAAAAAAACTTTCCAAAACGTTTAATTATTTATTTCTGAGTTTTATTTCGTAGATGTGTCACTTGATACTTTCGAGGACTAATATTGCTCATAAATGTTAAAAACAGTAATAATAAAGAATGAGTAGATTTGTCCAAACTTTTAACAGGTAGCGTAACAACATTTAATGTTATATCTGATGTCATTTTTTTGGTTTTTGTTTACTCTCTTACCTTTATATGTGGTTTGGACAGTAGCTTGACAAGCTCTCTCATCTCATTATTTGCACTTCTTCCCTGAAGTTCCTCCGTCAACTGATAGAAACGGACAAAAAAGATAGCAAGAGAGAGAAACAAACCAGAGAGCGAGAGAAAATGAGCATCGATAACATCCATGATTCACATGCATCGGTCATCCAGACATGAACATTTATTATGAATAATTGGAGTATAAATGTCTCCCTTGTGGCAGGTAGCAGGTGGAGTGTGTGTGTGTATGTTTAAGAGATTGAGAGATTTATAGTTGCACAGACGCACACTAAATGAAGCACAGAGACACATTGCTGAGCGAGGAGAGAGAGACAGAGATATGAGCTTGTTCCCCAGGTCCATTTGAAGAGTTACTCCTGGGCCACAACCTTATTACTGACCCCACTCGCTCTGGATCTCTGTGTGTGTGTGTGTGTGTGAGTGAGTGAGTCTGCTGAACTGCTGTAATCGGTGTTTGAAGAATCACTCCCTTAGGATGTCAGTAGACTTTTCCAGTAACCAGCAAAATGGGAGGTGACGTTCAATTGAGTAATTGTGACAGTGACCCTTAGTCACACACACACTCAAATTATATCATGTGTACAATAGATACATACCAACCACTGTGGCTGATGTCATAGCAAGCAGAGGTCACATATGGAAGAAAAACAGCACGTGCACATCCGGGATCAGTCTTATAGGACTATGGTTTTGCACATGTACAGTACAGTATACAGTGATGCAGAGAAGTATTTGGACACTTGGTGCACACTTAAAATGTACAAATGTATGAATTTATGTAAATTAGTTTTAAGTCTATAAATGAAGTCTTTGAATAGTTCATAAATATTTAACCGTGAGCCTCACAAATGCTGGCAAACCCAGCTGTTAGAACTTCATTCTATCCAACATAAAAACACGTGCACTCTGGACGTGATGGTCCATCTGTGTGAATTGGATGCGGACAGGACAGTTGTGCTGTCATTGGACAGGCATAAAATACAAACTCTAAATGCTTTATTTCAAATTATGCTGCACTGTTGCTTGTTTTCCACTATGTCATATTCATATCATATTTATTGTGTACTGTATGTAAAAGACTTACCAGATTACTGAGTGCACTGCTGATTCCCTCGCATTTTATCCATGTTTTTTACATTTCATTTATTAGTGAAAAATACTATAATAGGATTACAAATCAAGAAGTTGCTGTCTGAAGTATTAATCTGTTTATTTTACCGTTTATTTTTTAAATCATAATTAAATTTTTTCCCCAAATGATTAATACATTTTTCTTAATTTAGTGACTATCATGTAAAATAAATAAATGTCATTGCAGCAATTGTTACGCATGTTTAAAATGCAATATTATATTGGATTTATATTTTAAATATCCATATCAGATGACCACTACAAAATATCCATGAATCATTTTAAAGAAAACACTTCACAAAAACTTGATTACATTTATAACATATTATTCAAAATTAATGTAAAAATCTGAACGCAGTTAAAAAAAGACATTATTAATTGACATTAAATGTCCAAACACTGGAAACTATTTACTGACAATTGTGTGTTTCAATGGTTAATCAACCAAGAAACTTAATCTCTTGCAAAACAGTCTATTGATTTTTGATAATGTCCCAAAGACTCAATTGCAGACTAATATTCATCGTAAATCAGTTAGAATGCCATACACTGTGGCCTGTTTTCATGTTACAACAAAATAAATCTTTTAGGATCTGCAGCTTTTGTTTCTGACAGCAAAAATCACAGCACATCTGGCTTATGACATCTGTATTGTGTCTGGCAATAGAATGATCATCTAAAATAACTCTACAAGCGGTTTCAATTAATCAATCAGGGATATAGTTTTGCTGCTCTGGTGTAATCTGACATAGTTGTTATGCATTTGCTTGACTGACGTCTCCAGAACAGACTTCTGCATTTGAGAGGTATGAGCGGAGTGGAGTATCATCCAGCAGGCTCTGGAGCACTCCATTTTTCCACAGTCTAATGGAAGACACCAGGGACTTAATGAGGACTTTAATCTGCCAATTGTTTTTATTCAGACTGAATCCTGCATGTGGAAGTAGCATTCTTTACTGCCTACCTGTGGCCAGAATGAGAACTGCACACCTGTTGCTTAACTTCATACTGTTGTTCAGAATAGAGTGTGTATTTCCATCTCTGCTAAAGCTTTCTGTGGAAATGTGTGTGTGAGGTGCTTGCCTGCTGCGTCAGTGCTAGACAGCATCTCGGGCCAGGCGGAGGTTAAAATGGCGTTTTATGATACACTATAAATTAAAGCTCCATTAGCGAAACTTTACACTCGAATGAGTGGCGGCAGCAAACCCACTACAGCGTTCAAAACAGCAGCATGCCGTATATTCCTAACAGCAATGGATGAAAACGATATGTCTGAAAAAACACAGGAGGGGGCTGTGAGTAATTTGGTTGCTTTGGCTGTTCCACCCTTTGATGGACCGCGTCCGCACACACACGCAGATATCGGGTTATCTGTGTGTGGGACCTTTAGGGACACTGAAGGAAAGAGTAAATCTGAGGGGCGGATCTGAGCTGCAGGCTGAGAAAGTTCCGTAACGGAAGTCGATATTTAGGGAAACACAAGATGGCTGGTAGCCACCGCCTACTGAGACATGAGTGAACAGGAAACGGATGTGTATCAAAGCTGATTAGCTCTTCCTGGATCAGCAAAGGATGTAGATTTGAGAACAAATACAACACTGTTTGAACAGACGTGGCATCCTTTATTACATAAATTCACTTCGGAATAGTCTGGATATTCAAAGAATTTTTGCTCATCTTAAAGTCAGTGATGACCTGAGATGCTCTTCTCTGAATCTTTCCTTCTGTCTTTCTTCTCTCTGATCATATCCAGAGTAAACTCTTCAAAGTTTACATAGGTTTGTGTGTGTGTGTGTGTCTATGCGGCAATGTTGCTATAGTAGCCAGTTTACTTTATGCAAGCCATTGAGAGTTTAAACGTTGAGTTTTATAATACTGATGACTAATGTCTTGTAACTGTGGCCGAAGCGGAGCCCAGCCCGAGGTCGTCACATGTGGTTGCCGCAAGCCTCCTTCGTCGAATCCGCCAGCTGCGCCGTTCTCAAGCCCGCAGCCTCTGCTCACTCTAGCCCTCCGGCCGTTGCTCACTCTAGCCCCCGGCCTCTGCTCACTTTAGGCCGTCGCCGCTTACTCTAGGCCGCTGTGTGTGATGCTGTGTTTCGTTGTGAAAGCGAAACTACTTTGTTTGGCCTTCCAAAAATGGACACGACTAGAAATCAGTGGTTAAGTTGTATTTACAACACTGTTCCAGAACACTTCGACCCAAA